CCCCACCTACATAGAAGCAGAAAGATACCACTACATCCAACATTGCTGGAACTGCTTTTCTTATCTTCACACCACCAAAGCATGTCCAGTAAAAGACAAGAAGTTCTGCACTACATGTGGTAGTGAGGGACACACCTTCAGTTTTTGTACCACTGCTGCTCCAACACAACCAGCATGTTTAAACTGTAAAAGTAATGATCACCATACATTTGCGGCAAAATGTCCTACAAGAAAGGATATTATGAAGAAACAGCAAGATGCAACAAATAAAAAAATCTACCAACAACACACCAACGTATGCTGCAATTGCAAAGTTGCAAGCAGACACTACAAAATTACTTCAAGCATCTACTCAGCCTGCCTCCACCACCACCACCATCACTCCTCCAACATGTGATGTAACGAAGATTCACTATTGTCTACTATACGCTCACATGCAAAACATGGCTGTTCCTGGATCCTTTAACTCTACCATCAACGAGTTATTTACATTAAATAACATGCCATCGTTTACATTTCCAGCATCTCCACCTTCTGAAGAAATTCTCAAATTCACCAAACACTTAATCACCAACTCTTCTGCAGAAGTTCCATCAACACCACCAACTAGTGATGTCAATCCAACAACGACCTATGAGAAGCCTCCACTGCCACCACCCCTTACTGAATCCAACCAATCAGAAGCCTTGCCTCCAGAAACATCTTCTAATTCGCCTACTGAAGCTGAAAATGAAGCGCCACCACCTTCCTCAACTTCACCACCGCCTTCTCCACCTCGACCACTTCGATTACCTGGAACACTTTGGGCTAAACACAAAGGACTCATGTTCTACATCATGAAGCATTGCCCCAGCCCAATGTATCGCCTAGAACTCGCCCAACATCTCAAAGACAAAACTGCAACATACACCACCGACGAAACGCCATACCCTAAAGTCGAACAGATAATCCACCAACTCCAAACCAACGAACTCTTCTACAGAGCTCCCATTGGTGTGATACAACTCTCTAAAACAAAATTCCACACATTGATAACCGCATAAGCGAAAAAATAACTCGTCCTGCTTGCTGCCTACTGACAGTCTCAGCTCCCGCCGCTGCCTTTGCCATCCTCTCCTAGAGAACCAAGCAACAACATCATTCAAGCCTCTCCATCTACGCCTCCAGTACTTCGGTACCACATATCCCAAAGTGGTTGGGCCACTTGCCTTGATTCCTCCTCTTCCTCTCCTTCCCATCCTTTTCCAGTTATTTCCATCCTTATCCTTCTTCCTTCCCATCTCACGACAGCTCTCGTCATCTTAATCCTTAAAAAAAAAAAAAAAAAGCTGGCCCAGTGGCTAACAATCCAAATGATTTTGTTTATGACTTAGACTCAAAATTCGGCCAATTCAAAAATCTGTTTGCTATTATCCTAACGCCACAAGACTTTGAAAAGGCAATAAGTGACATGCCCGTGCGCTCTGCCCTAGGCCTGGATTCATGGAACTTCGTGTTCATCAAGAACTGCAAGAAGCCCCTGTCATGTGCCTCTAGCATTATATGGAGAGGGAGCATGGACACAGTCACTAAAAGCAGCATACATAGCTCCACTTCACAAAGGTGGCAGTAAAACAATTGCAAAGAACTATAGACCGATAGCACCTGGGTTTAAGAGAGCATATAGGCCAGGATGAATTGCAACAATTGAATATGCTGAATGTTGAAGACAGAGTAAAACAACCGAAGTTAAATCAAGTTTATAAAATTGCTCACAGTGTCCAGAATATCTTGCTGCCAATTTTGTCAAGCCAAAGCAATCATAGTACAGGTCCGCTATCACAAATCTGGCAATCAGTTACCCGGTTCCATCAGTTACTCAGCACTAATTTCGGCTAGCATAATTTCAAATTTCCAGGGTCACCACACCAACCTGCTGGTGCTGTTTGGTGGTGCTACTTGCTGCATAAGTCATTCCAATTTCTTTTTCTCCATTTATTGTTATAACCTGCTTGCTTTTAGCCCTAGCCATGGTTCCAACGAATAAAAGAAGTGCTTCTCATTGTGTAAAGCACATACACAGTATATTGTCCATAAAAGATAAGGTGGTTTTGAAGCCCCTTTGAAGCAGGGGAATACGCTGTATTATTATGCTTTATCAACACTATGGCTTATTTGCCTATCACAATTGATCTGATATGACATAATAAACAATATAAATAACATAAAAATATGTTAAATACTCCAGAATTAATATTTGGATTACGCTTATGGATTACGCTTGCTCTTCTTGGTACTCTGCCTTGACAAAAAAACTGAAAGATAGACTGCAAATCACCCAGAACAAAATCGTAAGATTCATCCTGGGGCTGGGACCAAGAGAACATGTAGGCCAGGATGAATTACAGCAGTTGGATATGCTGAATGTTGAAGACAGAGTAAAACAACTGAAGCTAAATCATATTTATAAAATTGCTCACAAACAGTGTCCAGAATATCTTGCTGTCAATTTTGTCAAGGTTGGGAACCAAAGCAATCATAGTACTAGGGGGAGAGAGCACAACTTTGTAGTACCCACAGTCATTGGCCAGGCTTCAAACACCTTTTATTGTACAGCAATAAAGGAATGGAACAGACTACTCGCACAAGTCAAAGCCAGTCATAGCATGAACCAGTTCAAGAAGAGTGCCAAAAGGTGTCTGATGAATGTAGCTACAGAAAGGGAGGGGAATGATTTTCTATTTTTTATCTAACATACGTGTAAATTTTACCTTATTCCTAGTAATGACCCTCGTATTGTAGATAGTCTTAATGACCCTCGTGTAGTAGATAGTCTTTTTAGTATGATAATAAGATGTTATCTTCATTATAGAATAATAAGAAAATATAGAATAATAAGAAAATATTATAACCTTTATATTATAATAATAAGGTAAAAGGATCCCAATGGAAATAAGTCACTCTGACTTTTTTGGGTTATCCTAGGTTCTCTACACATATGCTGCTATGTATGATAATTCTATGTAACTGTATTTGTGTACACCTGAATAAACTTAGTTACTTACTTACTTATAATACAGAGCAGTTCGACAGAGGTATGAAGAAGATATGGGATACAAGTACCATTCTCCTATCCCTGACTAGGGGGCGTATATTAGAGAAAATGGAGTATAGCACATGGCTAACTGTGATATACACTCGTACTGTACCATAAAACTGAAACAAAAAGCTATATTGTCTACATAGATTTTCATATATAGCAGCATGTGTGTAGAGAACCTAGGATAACCCAAAAATGTTATCTCTTGTGGCATAAACTACTTTCCACTACCACCACTACTACTACTACTTATATTACCAGCATTACCACTACTACTATTTCCTACTCTCTCCTGTCTGTCGTCCTCACCTGTATATACTGGTTTACTCTCTTTTGTCCATAACTTGTGGATGGTCCAAGACTGACCAAAAATGTCATCATAAGTTTTTTTCTTTTGTATGTTGTTTGTATATTGTTCCAGTTTCTCTCAATTCATCTCTGATTTTGCAAATGGAGGAAAGCAGGAGGGTAGTCCCTCAGGATCAGAACATGTACACTCATAACCTATGACTTGTTAATTTATTACAAAATGTGAGTTTAAGAACTAAACAGATGTACACTACATACAGTAGATACTGTAATTACATTTTATTGTGTTTCCTCTTACTGAAGCCCTCTGAATTTGCATATAAAAATTATTAGCAATATCCTTACAATTTAGCCCTGATGATGCAGAGACTATGAAAACACTGCATGTAAAAGCACTAGAACATTAATAGAGTACTGTTGTAGGCTTACTGGTCCATGCTAGTCAGGTCGAAGTCATACCTAACCACTTCCACTCATGTATTAGTCCAAACTGTTTTTAAAGCTACCCAAAGTTTGGTGATAGTTGTAGAATTACTCCCATTTGTGAGGCCACAAAATATACCCAGCATTTTTTGCCTGGGGTTAAACAAAAACCTTGTTATTTGAGAGTGAGTATATTAAGTGCTCAGTATCTAGGCATAAAAAAAAATAGATAAAAAAGTAAAATAATACACAGTACATACATTACCATAAAATATGGCACCAGTCACCCTTCCTGTATGCAGCTGTTGTGTGAAAATGGCAAAAACAGGGGAAAAGTAGTAAAATCACTGAACATAATGAACAATGGGCCAATTGAAAGCCAATGAAAATGTGGAACACCAAAAAGAGGGTGGTGTATATGCAAGGGGTCCTCCTGTATATTGTATATAGTATATGTGGAAGACAGCTAATGTTGTTACTGAACACAGGGTAAACTAGGATATGGCCTGGTTCTTCATAGAGGTAGTATATAACATTAAAGAAAATGTGTGAGGAAGATTGAAGGTACAGGTAATTTAAGGCAAGAAGCAAAATATGGAAGAGCCAAGTGAGATTGTCCAGCAAGTGGTGATGTTTTGATGCAAATGTTATGTTAACAGGGGACTTAGTATAATATGATTGAGAGATTGTAATGAAGAAAGGATTCTTAAGCATTTCTACATCAGTTCATTGATTGTGCTTCTGTACAATACATATAATTATTTGGAAAAATTAAATATTATGAAGGTTCAAAAGAGGTAATTAAGCATCTTTAGTTAATTTCCTTCTTTACCCAACTTCCATGCCATCTCCAAATACCTTTATTTTTTCACCCATACCTTTATCACTTGAAAAGAACCATTTTATGTATATTACAATAAAACTAAGACCCCCCTCAAGGGAGGTTTCTTGATGCTGTTGAGGGTTTTTGATGAATCTGCTATCCTCTTGGATTGAACTTTAATGCCTCTCATTTCCCCAGGTGCTGTTTAACTACTGAGTTTAGCACTCCCCCATGAATTCAGTAATAATAATAATAAAACTAAGAAACTTTTTTGGAAAATTGAGAAATTTAGATATTTAACTATTTTTACTATGTCGTGTAAAAATTTTCTCTTTGGAGAGTTTTTTTTATATTTCATTTTCCAAGGACCTCCTCCGAACCGGCCTCTTCCTCCAACCCCTGATGATGATGAATCTGGAGACCGCACACTAATTATGCGCAGAGTGAGTTAGTTTTCTTTTTAAAAGCTTGTAATTGAATTAAAGACTAAAGAACATCAGATCATAAACTCTGGGCTACCTATCTGATGCCCTCTGACTTGTTATGTATTAAAATTAGTAAAATAATTTTGTATTGGTTCTGTTTTGTCATGGAGCATTGTGTGTGTATGTGTGTGTATGGGATCGGGGGTAGTAGTTGGTGTATATATTTTATGTACAATAGGGCCCCACTTACATGGCAGGATAGGTTCCAGGCTACCACCATAAAGCGGAATGCCATTTTTTCCCCATATCATTGTCAGGTAGTAACTTTACATTAACATATATAAAGTTAACAATGGAACTAGGCATTAAAAAACAAAAAAAATAAAATCCACACACAGTACACTCATTACTTACCTTAAAATATTTAAGTATTTATTGTTGAAAGTCAGGCATAGTAGGTTGGGTAGGTTTTGGTGCCCCAGAGCAATAAAATGCGTATAGAGTACATTCTCTGCTTAAAATATTTGTAGTCTTAATGTAGAGTGAGAGGCGAGTATTTATTGTAGAAAGTCTAGTGTAGTAGCACGCCACCTACCACACCTACACCAAATATACAACTTGAATTTAAAATGCCTATAGCAGTTATTATTATTATTCTTACCATCAACATATCTTGTTCACTGAGATTAGTCATTTCCAACAACTATCCTTAGATGCCAATGGAAATAAGTCACTATGCCTTTTTTGGGTTATCCTAGGTAATCTACACATGCTACTATGTATGATAATTTAGGTAACTGTATTTTTGTGTATCTGTACCTGAATATATTATATATATATATATATATATATATATATATATATATATATATATATAATATATATATATATAATATATATATATATATATATATATATATATATATATATAAACCATACCTCGGCCGGGATTGAACCCGCGGTCAGAGAGTCTCTGACCGCGGGTTCAATCCCAGCCGGATTATGGTTTGTTTGCAATCGTGTCATTACGATTTCGTGAGTTTTATATATATATATATATATAAAATATATATATATATATATATATATATATATATATATATATATATATATATATATATATATATATATATATATATTATTTTTTTTTTTTTTTTTTTTTTTTCAACAAGTCGGCCGTCTCCCACCGAGGCAGGGTGACCCAAAAAGGAAAGAAAATCCCCAAAAAGAAAATACTTTCATCATCATTCAACACTTTCACCACACTCGAACATTATCACTGTTTTTGCAGAGGTGCTCAGAATACAACAGTCTAGAAGCATACATATATAAAGATACACAACATATCCCTCCAAACTGCCAATATCCCAAACCCCTCCTTTAAAGTGCAGGCATTGTACTTCCCATTTCCAGGACTCAAGTCCGACTATATGAAAATAACCGGTTTCCCTGAATCCCTTCACTAAATATTACCCTGCTCACACTCCAACAGATCGTCAGGTCCCAAGTACCATTCGTCTCCATTCACTCCTATCTAACACGCTCACGCACGCTTGCTGGAAGTCCAAGCCCCTTGCCCACAAAACCTCCTTTACCCCTCTCTCCAACCCTTTCGAGGACGACCCCTACCCCGCCTTCCTTCCCCTATAGATTTATATGCTTTCCATGTCATTCTACTTTGATCCATTCTCTCTAAATGACCAAACCACCTCAACAACCCCTCTTCTGCCCTCTGACTAATACTTTTATTAACTCCACACCTTCTCCTAATTTCCACACTCCGAATTTTCTGCATAATATTTACACCACACATTGCCCTTAGACAGGACATCTCCACTGCCTCCAACCGTCTCCTCGCTGCTGCATTTACCACCCAAGCTTCACACCCATATAAGAGTGTTGGTACTACTATACTTTCATACATTCCCTTCTTTGCCTCCATAGATAACGTTTTTTGACTCCACATATACCTCAAACGCACCACTCACCTTTTTTCCCTCATCAATTCTATGATTAACCTCATCCTTCATAAATCCATCCGCTGACACGTCAACTCCCAAGTATCTGAAAACATTCACTTCTTCCATACTCCTCCTCCCCAATTTGATATCCAATTTTTCTTTATCTAAATCATTTGACACCCTCATCACCTTACTCTTTTCTATGTTCACTTCCAACTTTCTACCTTTACACACATTCCCAAACTCATCCACTAACCTTTGCAATTTTTCTTTAGAATCCCCCATAAGCACAGTATCATCAGCAAAAAGTAACTGTGTCAATTCCCCTTTTTGAATTTGATTCCCCATTTTAATCCCACCCTCCCCAAACCCCCTTTCATTTACTTCCTTTAAAACCCCCATCTATAAATATTTAAACAACCATGGTGACATTACACATCCCTGTCTAAGCCCTATTTTTAAAACCCGGGGAAGTAGTCCCTCTTTCTACACACCCTAACCTGACCTCACTTCCTCAAAAAAAACTCTTTACAGCATTTAAAAAACTTCCCACCTATTCCATAACTTGCAACATCTCCCACATTGCCCCTTTATCCACTCTATATATGCCTTTTTTTAAATCCATAAATGCAATAAAAACTTCCCTATCTTACTAAAAAACGTTCACAATATGCTTCAATAAACACCCGATTACACTCCCTACCCATCTTAAAATCCTTGCTCATCCGCAATTTCCCACATTCTGTCTTTCCTCTAATTCTTTGTTATAACCCCTACCGTACACTTTTCCTGGTATACCAGTAAGCTTTTTCCTCAAATTTTTTCAGTTCTTTTGTCCCCTTTTTCTTTATATAAAAGGACATGCATCTCTCTGCCAATCCCTAGGTACCTTCCCCCCTTTTTTACATTTATTAAACAAATACCAACCACTCCAAAACATATCCCCCCCCCTTTTTCATTTTTTCATGATCCCCTCAGTTCCAGCTGCTTTTTCCCCCTTTCATTTTATGTAATCCTCACTCCTCCCCCAAACTTACATTCTGCTCTTCTTCACTCCAAAAATGGGATACCTCCTGACCAGTGCATGAAATATGCCCCTGTTCTTCCTTAACATTTTAAAAGTTCCCCAAAAAATTCTCGCCCTCTACCCTACCTCCACTCCCCCTCACTAACTCCCCTATCCCGTTTTTAATGACAAACCATTTTTCCCTAGCTTTCTTAACTGTTTAATCCTCCAAAATTTTTTTTTTTTTCATTAAAATTTCTTACATGCCTCTCCCACCTTTCTCTGCTCTCCTTTTTCACTCTCTCACCCCTCTCTTTACCTTTTTTTTACTCTCCATATACCCCTGTTCTTCTTATAACACTTCTGCATTGTAAAAACCTCTCATAACTACCTTTTTCTCTTTTATCACAACCCTTTACTTCATCATCCACCAATCAACTCCTCTTTCCTCCTGCCCCCACCCTCCTATAACCACAAACTTCCTGCCCACATTCTAATACCGCATTTTTAAAACTATTCCAACCCTCTTCAACCTCCCCCACTACTCATCTTTGCACTAGCCCAACCTTTTGCCATTTATAGTCGCTTATATCTCACCCGAACCTTCCCCTCTCCTTAGTTTATACACTTTCATTTCACCTCCCCAACTTACTTGTTGTTGCCACCTACCTCTTTTCCCATCTACTCTCTACCTCTAACTGTAAGCTTACAACTAAATAACGATCCGATATATCAGTTGCCACCTCTATAAACATGTACATCCCTGGAGCCCTACCCATCAACCATTTTAACACACCAATACATAATCTAATAAAACTACTTTCATTACGTGCTACATCATACCTTGTTTATTTATTTATCCTCTTTTTACATAAAATAATGTATTACTTATTACCAAATTTCTTTCTTACACATAGCTCAATAAAAGGCTCCCCCATTTACATTTACCCTTGGCACCCCAAATTTACCTACTACTCCTCCATAACATTTTTAACCCACTTTAACATTGAAATTCCCCAACCACCATTACTCTCACACTTGATTCAAACTCCCCCACGCAATTCAACTTCAACATTTCCCCCAAATCCTCTCTCCCTCTACACTTCTCGTCTTCTCCAGGTGCATACACCTTATTATAACCCACTTTTCACATCCAATCTTATTTTACTCCACATAATCCCTTGAATTAATACATTTAATTGAATTGTCTCCTCTTTTCCTGCATAGCTATCCTTCAACATAATTGCTACTCTCCTTCCATAGCTCTAACTCTATTTGAAACCCTTACCTAATCCCATTTATTCCTCTACGCACTGAAACTCTCCCACACCCCTTCAGCTTTGTTTCACTTAAAGCCAGGACGATCCATACTTCTTCTCATTCAATAACAACCACAATCATCCTCTTTCTTTATCAATCTGCACAACATCCACGCACATTCAGACTTCCCACTTTGACAATTTTCTTCTTCTTATTCTTTTTAGTAAACTTTACAGGAAAAGGGGTTCTAGCCCACTGTTCCCGGCCATTTTTCGTTGACTTTTTACATACACTCATGGCCTTACGGAGAAAGATTCTTATCCACTTCCCCATGGATATAAAGGAAATTGATAAGACCCAAGAAACTATTTAAGATAAAATCAAAGAAAACTTCAGAATGAGTGTGTATAAATAACTGTTGTACATGTATGTTAGTGTGACCTAAGTGTAAGTAGTAAGTAGCAAACCATGCCTGTAATCTGCATATTTATGAGACAGACAAAAAGACCATCAGCAATCCTTACCATCATTGTAAAACAATCGACAGGCTTTCATTTTACACTTGCAGACGGTAGTACCTCCCTGGGTGGTTGCTGTCTACCAACCTACTACCTACCTAATATATAATATATTATATATATATATATATAAAATATATATATAAAGGGGATAAGTCTGTTGAAGTGTACCGTGGTAAAGTTGGTATGGTAGAGTTATAATTGAAAGAATTAAGAGAAAGACGGAGAAATAGGATAGCAGATGAACACGAGGCTTTAGGAAAGGTAGGGGGT